CCCCCCATCACTGTGTGTACCCCGCTACCCACTCCCCCCATCACTCTGTGCACCCTGCCATCCGCTCCCCGGCCTTGTCACTCTCTGCACATCGATATCCGCTCCCTCCTCGTATCGCACACCCCACTGTACTGTGTGCCAGCCTCTGCCTGTGTGTAGCTCTGTGTCTGTTTGCACGGCTGCTTGCAGGCTGCATGTGTGTGTGTGTGTGCTTGTGCGCACATGTCTGCCTGCCTTTGTTTGTGTCTCTGCCTGTCTCTGTGGGGGTGTCACACCTGGAGGTCACGCTTGAATATTCCTTACCTCAGTGCAGCAATGCATCTTTACGTGGAAGTTCACTGAAAACACTCGCTGGCTGCTCCACTTGCCGACATCTGCGGGAATCTGAGCTTTGCATCACAGTCCCCCCCACCTCTTTGTTCATTGGAAATTCCAAAAGCCAGTCTTTCTCCTACATGAGACTTGTGCTTCTGACTCACAAGCAGCCTAAATTCTCAATGGCATCAAAGTATTGCAGATGTTGGAGAATTGAAATTAAAAACGCCAAGTGCTGGGGAAACTCAGGAAGTCCAGCAGCGCCTGTGGAGAGAGACTCCGAGTTGATGTTTCAAGTCTAAAGTCTGTTTCTCTTCTCTCTCTCTCCCCACAGATCCTGCCAAACCTGCTGAGTTTCTCCAGCACTTAGTACACAATTCCAAGTTGGCATGCTTTGTGGCTCGGAGGGCAATATGCCAGCAGTAGTGTTCCCATATGTCTGGTGCCCTTGTCCATCGAGCTGATACAGTTTGTGCATTAGGAAGGAGTCTTGCAGCGCACCTTGTAGATGGTACCCACTGCCAATACTGAGCGTCGGTGGTGGAGGGAGTGGATGTGGTGCCAATCAAACAGGGGCTGCTCTGTTGTTTCGACGCCGGAGGCAGGAAGATCAGTGAGCAGAGGGTGCACGTTGAAGATAACTTGTAAATAAAAAAAACCCCAGCCAGAAGTGACAACCCCGTGAGTTGTCATGGTCTGGGACGTGCCACTCGACAGGACGGCAGAAGCGGCTGCCCTCCCAGTCCGAAGGGATGAGTACAGGCACTTGCCAGGGCCATCAACATGTGAGCCACAGAGGGAGATCGGCTCTCTCCCTCCCCACGGGAAGGGATGGGGACACCGTGAAGGAGCTGGGCTTACCGGTGGGGAGATGACTTCTTGCCAGCTCAGCTGGGATCGGGGTCAAAGTCTGCTCATGTGGGCACGGTGCCCATACCAGTTCCGGTCAGATGTTAAAAGCAGCCTGTGAGAGGGGATTTTTTTTTTTGCAGTGTGTTTCCTGTGGTTAGTCAGATCGAGGTCAGAATGGTTTGATCAGTTCCTTTGTCCGTTTCCTGGCGTCAAGTTTAATAGAACCCTCAAAGATTGCCTTTTGACCTCATTAACTGGGAGGTCGTGCAGTGTGTGTTCGCTGAGAGATCCCTGGGAGTAATCACAGGCTTGCAGTTAATTGAGAGGCTGGGGAGTGGGCTGTAGTATTTAGAAATAACAGCTGGGAATGAGTAACAGGCCGAACTCTAAGTGAGGGGGTTAATCGGGTAATGAATTTCCCAGGATGGTTTGAATATAGCTGCTGGAAGCAGGATGTCAGCAGGATGATGACAGGCTGTAGGCAATGCAGTGTAACTCAGCAGGGCCAGGGACGGTGTGCAGACTGCTGTGTGAGTTACAGTGATAAGTAACAGAGCCCAGTGACAAACTAGTGCACATGGTGAAACTCCACCATCTGGCTGCAGGTTTTGTTCGGAAACAAGCTGAGTAACAGTAGTGGAATCTGCCTGTTCTTGCCTCCCAGCCCCAGGGCCTGTCGAGTGACTCACAGCTCCTCCTAACCACTGTCCAATCTCGTGTTCTCGCTTTCACAGACCCAGACCATGGAGTGCTCAATCTCCCGCGCGGCACACAAAGGCCGTTACTCATTTAACGCGCAGCCACTCGGAGGTTCAGTGTCAACTTCCCCACCAACCCCTCAGTCACCGGGCGTTGAGCGTTCTGAAATGACCATGCCCCTATTACAAAGGAGATTGGGCGTGGGCCGGGGGTGTGGGGGGTAGCAGTTGGCCGTAACGTGGTAATGATTGACATGCCTTGAGCCAATGGGTGGAGAGTTGAGAGAGACATGGTGAGGCTGGCAGGTGAGAATTGTCGGCGAATGGCCTGCCAGCGACTGGCAGTGGAGTGGGAAACGGAGGGTATCAGCCGAGGGCTGGGATGGGTTTGGCTGGGATGGATTGGGCTGGATTGGGTTGGGCTGGGATGGATTGGGCTGGATTGGGTTGGGCTGGGATGGGATGGGATGGGTTGGGCTGGGCTGGGATGGGATAGGTTGGGCTAGGTTGGGTTGGAATGGGATGGGTTCGGATGGGTTGGGTTGGGTTGGGTTGGGATGGGCTGGGTTGGGTTGTGTTGGGTTGGGCTGGGTTGGGATGGGCTGGGATGGGTTGGGCTAGGTTGGGTTGGGTTGGGTTGGGTGAGGGGGTTGATAGCGATGACTGACATTCCACGTTCCAGTGCTGGGAGAGTCAGTCAGGATGCAGCAACGAGTGATCTCTGAGGGACCTGGGTCCTGACATTGACCTGTTAGTGTGAGAGTAGGCGTCTCATTGACAGTGGTGGCACTGCTGGCATGGGCACTGGAGCTGAGGGTAATGGTCGGCATTCAGTATTTTTACAATTCCCCCTTTGGAAAGTTATTGTTGAATCTGCTGACACCACCTTAAATCCCCTCTCCTCAAGCCCTCTGGTTCCTTTGATGATTAGTGCCCCCTGGATACCAACCTGCCCTGTGTTTGGGCTCATTTCTCCCTAATTATTCCACAGCATGGTCCTTTTTCTGCGTTGTTTAGTATTCCTGGTAACCTCTCGCTCAGTACCTTACACCCGCCTTGTGCAATCAGGAATATGTTAATAACGTTGGCCTAATCACTCAGTTCCACCTTCCCTCTGGTCACTGGTTCAGGACGTTAACTCTGTTTTCTTCCCACAGACACTGCCCAGACCTGCTGGGTTCCTCCAGCAATTTCTGTTCTTGTTTCAGAGCTCCAGCATCCACAACTGTTTGTTTTATTTGAGAGGAATGCAAGTTGTCGATGATTTCACAGCCATCGTTTTAAGCTTCAAGACAGACAGAGCTGAATATCAGTCAGTTCTAAATGTGTGGGCCCTTGTAAACACACTGTTTTGTCTATATCAATCATGAATGTGTGGAGCTGTGTGTATTCGTCAGTTATAAACATGTGGGTCTGTACACTGGTCAAGTATATACCTCTGGCCTGGGTATAGGTCAGGTATAACAATGTGGGACTGTGTGTCAGTCAGGTCTAAACATGTGGGGACAGGTATCAATCAGTTATAAACACAGGGTTGTGTACTGGCCAGGTATGAATATGAGACACTGATTATCGGGCAGTTGTAACTATAGGGCTGCACGTGGGGCGGTTGTGAACGGGCAGGGCTGTACGTCGGGCGATTGTGAACGGGTAGGGCTGTGAGTGGGGCGGTTGTGAACGGGCAGGGCTGTACGTGGGGCGGTTGTGAA